TACTCTCTAAGGTTCCTATTACCTATGGAGGAAGTCGGGTGATTGGAAGTGTCTGACAACCAGCATACTAGCAAACAGATATTGGCAATGAGGGCCACCAATTTTATGCTGGCACAGCTTTCTGCTAACTCAACAATGGATGGATATCATTTTAGATTAGTACTGCAGAGAGAAAATTATCTGTAGATGTGTGTAAGATGAATACATTAATGAACTTATTTAAACAGGACAAAGTTTCCAAATATGGTGATGGCCACAATTTAGGAAGTTTTAAAGAAGGAACTAGATAAATTCATGAATGCCAGTTCCATCCACGCTTACTCTTCCAAATGGCTGCCTACAGCATTACAATCTGCCTGGCTAGGTGGCTCAGTGACTAAGACGCTGAGCTTGTCAATCAGAAAGGTCGGCAGTTTGGTAGTTCGAATCCCTAGTACAGGTCTCCTGTGTGAGCAGGGGGTTGGACTAGATGACCTCCAAGGTCCCTTCCAACTTATCTTATCTTATCTTATCTTATCTTATCTTACCTTACCTTACCTTACCTTACCTTACCTTACCTTACCTTACCTTACCTTATCTTATCTTATCTTATAAGTCAAGGCACGCATTACTTTGAGTTGACTCCAGAAAACTTAATTTACAAGTTATAATTTTTGAGTTTATAAACATGCTAAGCCAAATTGAAGCAGATCACATCATACCTTACCTTGGTCCATGAGTATTACTATATTGAATATTCCAGAGTATATCCATTCCATTAGTAGTAATGGGGACACAAAATCCACATTAGAAAAACATATGACCTAGGCACACAAAGGTTTCAAAGAGACCCTGAATTTCCCACTTTGGATTTTTCCCTTTTTTTTTTTTTTTTTTTTGTTCTCTTGTGTTTGGTAGCTTAGAGATACCTGAGGCATTTGAAATAAAGACCACAAAAAAGGATGCTAGAATGAAATTAATCTATTTCTCTTTGCCTCTCATAACTTTACACCTTAGAAGATATTCAAAAGAGAGTAACAATAAACTAAAGGAGGACAATGGATATCATACAATGCACTGTGATTTTTTTTAAAAAAATAATAATTTCAGAAGGCAAGGAGATTTATCTCTGTGATCAAGGAGTTCATATTCTTTTCTTTACTGGAAGCAGAATTGTATTGCTTCATGTCTCAGCAGGTGACAAAACTTGGTTATTGGAAGTGGGATGTGCCTTTTTAGTACTTGGATGGGACTCGTGAAATGGTATTCATTGATCCAAAAATAAAATATGAATATAAGAGTAAGGGTAATACATATATGGCAGTAGTGAAATCCAAAATTTTTTTACTACCGGTTCTGTGGGTGTGGCTTGGTGGGCGTGGTGTGGCTTGGTAGGCATGGCAGGGGAAGGATACTGCAAAGTCTTTACTGAAGAGAACTTTTAGCTTATTGGGGGTGGAATTCTTCTGAATAAGAAGAGACGCCAGTACCACTTTCAGGAGAAACCGGATTCATCCTATGGCCCTGTTGGGAGTTGAAGACTTGAGTTTTTGATCAAGATCTGAATGTTGCCCACCCATTCTGAAAATCTAAAACTTTCAGCCTTCATCTTTCTCCTGTAAGTGAAGTCAACAGGATGATCATTACATGCCACCCGGTTTTTGTTGACTCTGACAAGAGTGTATCCATGATGATCTGCCTCTAATCTCCATCACCATTGAAGTGGAGTCTATCCATCGTGCTACTGATTGTCTTCTTCTCTTTCCTTCCTTCTTGCCCAGCATTAGAGCCTTCTCCAGAGATCCAAGTCTCCAAGGTAGGACAACTAGAGATGGTCATTTGTGCCTCAGGTGAGAAGTTTGGGTTGATCTGTTCAATGATCTATCGGTTTGTCTATGGAGATTCTCAGTCATCCAGGTCATGTTTGTCCCAAAGGTGGGGTTCCCCCCCCAAAAAAAAAATGTCTCCAAGGGAAAATAAAGTCCAGTTGCCTTTTGAAAAACTACCTTTGGGATTCATCCGTTTGTTTTCTTGGCTGTCCATCGTCTTCTCTATAATGCCTTGGTAAGGCCACACGTGGAATACTGCATTCAGCCACAATGTAAGAAAGATGTGGAGACTCTAGAAAGAGTGCAGAGAAGAGCAACAAAGATGATTAGGGGACTGGAGTCTAAAACATATGAAGAACGGTTTCAGGAACTGGGTATGTCTAGTTTAATGAAAAGAAGGACTAGGGGAGACATGATAGCAGTGTTCCAATATCTCTAGGGCTGCCCCAAAGAAGAGGGAGTCAAGCTATTCTCCAAAGCACCTGAAGGCAGGACAAGAAGCAATGAGTGGAAACTAATCAAGGAGAGAAGCAACTTAGAACCAAGGAGAAATTTCCTGACAGTCAGAACAATTAATCAGTGGAACAAGAAGTGGAAGTTTTTAAGAAGATGTTGGATAACCATTTGTCTGAAGTGATGTAGTGTTTCCTGCCTAAACAGGGGGTTGGACTAGAAGACCTCCAAGGTCCCTTCCAACTCTTGTTATTCTGTTCAACTCTACTCTACTCTACTCTACTCTACTCTACTCTACTCTACTCTACTACTTGGATGGGACTCCTGAAATGGTATTCATTGATCCAAAAATAAAATATGAATATAAGAGTAAGGGTAATACATATATGGCAGTAGTGAAATCCAAAATTTTTTACTACCGGTTCTGTGGGTGTGGCTTGGTGGGCGTGGTGTGGCTTGGTAGGCATGGCAGGGGAAGGATACTGCAAAGTCTTTACTGAAGAGAACTTTTAGCTTATTGGGGGTGGAATTCTTCTGAATAAGAAGAGACGCCAGTACCACTTTCAGGAGAAACCGGATTCATCCCATGGCCCTGTTGGGAGTTGAAGACTTGAGTTTTTGATCAAGATCTGAATGTTGCCCACCCATTCTGAAAATCTAAAACTTTCAGCCTTCATCTTTCTCCTGTAAGTGAAGTCAACAGGATGATCATTACATGCCACCCGGTTTTTGTTGACTCTGACAGAGTGTATCCATGATGATCTGCCTCTAATCTCCATCACCATTGAAGCGGAGTCTATCCACCGTGCTACTGATTGTCTTCTTCTCTTTCCTTCCTTCTTGCCCAGCATTAGAGCCTTCTCCAGAGATCCAAGTCTCCAAGGTAGGACAACTAGAGATGGTCATTTGTGCCTCAGGTGAGAAGTTTGGGTTGATCTGTTCAATGATCTATCGGTTTGTCTATGGAGATTCTCAGTCATCCAGGTCATGTTTGTCCCAAAGGTGGGGTTCCCCCCCCCCCAAAAAATTTCCAAGGGAACATAAAGTCCAGTTGCCTTTTGAAAAACTACCTTTGGGATTCATCCGTTTGTTTTCTTGGCTGTCCACCGTCTTCTCTATAATGCCTTGGTAAGGCCACACGTGGAATACTGCATTCAGCGCACGATGTAAAAAGATGTGGACACTCTAGAAAGAGTGCAGAGAAGAGCAACAAAGATGATTAGGGGACTGGAGGCTAAAACACATAAAGAACGGTTTCAGGAACTGGGTATGTCTAGTTTAATGAAAAGAAGGACTAGGGAAGACATGATAGCATGTTTCCAATATCTCAGGGGCTGCCCCAAAGAAGACGAAGTCAAGCTATTCTCCAAAGCACCTGAGGGCAGGACAAGAAGCAATGGATGGAAACTAATCAAGGAGAGAAGCAACTTAGAACCAAGGAGAAATTTCCTGACAGTCAGAACAATTAATCAGTGGAACAAGAAGTGGAAGTTTTTAAGAAGATGTTGGATAACCATTTGTCTGAAGTGATGTAGCGTTTCCTGCCTAAGCAGGGGGTTGGACTAGAAGACCTCCAAGGTCCCTTCCAACTCTTGTTATTCTGTTCAACTACTCTACTCTACTCTACTCTACTCTACTCTACTCTACTCTACTCTACTCTACTCTACTCTACTCTACTCTACTCTACCCCACCCTACCCTACCCTACCCTAGTCTATTCTCAAGGGTCTTCTCCGACTCCAAAATTCAAAAACAAATGACCCCAGGTTAGAAAGAGAAAAACCCCACAAGCGCTAACTAGTTATGCACACAACGGGGCTTCTTGGTGCTCTTTGAGCTTGCTTGTTTTTGTTGTTGTTGTTTTTGTTTTGTCTTTTGTCTTTTTTTTGGGGGGGGGACGACGTTTCATTACCCTAAGTAACACCACCAATGCAACGGAGCGAAGAAAGCTCTCCTCCCTGTCCAATGCCCCTCCTCTTGTTCTCAACTCTTTCCATCCACGCTCCCCCCCTCCCCTTCTCTCTCTCTCTCTCTCTTTTCTGGCCCGTCCTCCCCCCCCGCCCCTCCTCCCGGGATTCCCCTAGGAAGGTGGATTTCCCCCACCAAGCCATTTCAGCGGGCGGAATTCGCCCCGCGGAAGAGAGCAACAAGAAACTCCGCAAAGGCGAAGGTAAAGCGCGCGGCTTTCTGGCAGGTAAGAGGCGGTGACGGGGGGGGGGCTGTCTTTAAACCCAAGCCAAGCCAGGCCACCCTTCACCACCAAGAGGACTAGAAAGTTGAGCGTTAGCTAGCCTGGGGGGGGGGCGGGCGGAGAAGCGGGGCGAGGGAAAGCGGGAGGGTTGTGCGGGAAAGCCCCCCCCCCTCCCTCTCTCTCTCTCTCTCCCCCTCCCTCGTCCTCCCCCCCTCCCCACTTTCTCTCCTTTTAGACCGGCCTCCCAAGCCGACCGAATCAGAAGTGTCAAGGGAGGAGGAGGAGGAGGAGGAGGAGGCGTCTCACTCATTCCCCCCCCTCACTCACTTTGCCCACCTCGCGCTTTCCCTTTTTGGGCGGGCGCGAGCGTCGTGGGGGGGGGGGGGCGCGAGACGCGCGCGGGGAAGGTTGGGGGGGGACACACGCGGGGGCGCGCGCGCGCGCGGAGCCCGCCGGCGTCTGAATGAGCGGATTTATTTCGGAATCTCCCTCCCTCCCTTCCCTCCCCTCCTTCCCTCCCTCCCTCCCTCTCTCCCTGCCTGCCTGCCTCCCGCCCGCTCGCGTCGCCGGAGATGGGCTTTCGCAGCCGCGCTTGCTGGTGTTGCTGCTGCCGCTGCCGCCGTTGCACCCGCCGCCGCCGCCGGAAAACCTCGCGCCGTCAGGCGAAGCACTGAAGAAAGAAAGGAAGGAAGAAAAAAAAGAGAGAGAGAGAAAGAAAGAGAGAGAGAGAGAGACGGCCCGGAGGGGGCTAAAGCCACAACTCCGCCGCCCTTTGGACCCAAAAAAAAGAGAGCGAGGGACCCCCTGAAAGTGAAGCAAGAGAGCCCCCCCCCCCCAGAAAGGAAGGCGAGACAGCCGGAGGGGAGGTTTGGAAAGCAACACTTGCGCCTCGCAAGCCGACAGCCGACAGCCGAGAGGCAGGTGTTCTGTGCTGGCGCTCGGGCAAAGCTCGCCCGGACTAGTGGCCGCCGTCGACCGAAGGAGCGAGCAAGGCAAAGGCGACGCCGGCGGACAAGTCTTCACCCCCCCCACCCCAAAGCTTGGGAAGCGGATCGGGTTGTCCTGGGTTGAGCCGCCGCCGTCTTTCTTTCGTCCCCCCCCTCTTCCATCTCCCCTCTCCGCCCCGAAGTGGTGGGACTTAGCCAGACGTATTTCCCCCCCCCCTTCTCTCCTTCGAGCCGCGAAGCGAAACAACCCCGTAAGTCCGGCTTTGGAGCGTGATTCTTGTGAGTGTTACCATCATCATCATCATCATCATCATCATCATCATCATCATCATCATCATCTTCATCATCATCATCATCATCTTCTTCTTCTCTCGCCCCCACCCCCCCATCAGCAGCTTCTCCCTGTTCGAGGAAGGTTCCTTCCCACGTCACAACTATCACCCCGGGAAAGAGGAAGAGGGGTGTCTCGAGGGGGGGGGGAGAGAGAGGTGGTTGGGGGGGGGGGCTCCGTCGGGCAAAAGTGTTCTCTTTAACTCGGATCGCTCCGCTACGAATTTTTTTTTTCCCTCTCTGCCTCCTTCCTGGCTCTGCCGTTCCTTCCTGGGGATTCCTGGCTTTCGGAGAAGATGGGGAGGGGGGGGGAGAGAGAGAGAGAGAGAGAGAGAGAGAGAGAGAGAGAGAGAGAGAGAGACGGCGGAAGGTGCCAGTTTTTGCGGTGGGGAGGTGCACTTATTGAAGGTTGGGGGGCTTTGGATCTCAAGCTCTAGCGCACTAGCTTCTCCCCTTCCTCTCTCTCCTCCCCCCAATTCTTATTTTCCACCGGTTTGAAGATAGGCTTACAGCCAAATCTTGAAAGACATTGCTTGGTTGCCGGTATGCTGAAATTAAACCCCCCCTCCCTTACACACATAGAAAATGAATGAATAAAGAAAAAAAAAAATAAGAGGGAGGAAGCCATCCATTCATCAGAGCCATAGATGGTGGAGGAGAAAAAGGGTGCAATGGGTGGAAAGAGAAGAATCCTTTCCCTTTTCAAAATAGCAACATCTCCGGGACAGCTCTGAAGGAGGAATCGGAATTAGGGTTGGAAGGGACCTTGGAGGTCTTCTAGTCCAACCCCCACCCGAGGCAGGAGCCCTCATCCCATCTTTGACAAATGAATGCCCAATCTTTTTCTTGAAAGCTTCCAGTGATGGATCTCCCACAAGTCCTGGAGGCAAGCTGTCCCCTTGCTTAATAGTTCTCACCATCAGGAAATTCCTCCCATTGCCCAGGTTGGATCTCCTTCTGAGGAGCTTCCCTCCATTCATTGCTTCTTCTTGCCTGGGAAAAGCAGAACTAGCTGTCTAGTCTCCTCCCGATTTCCCAAAGCAGGGCAGTATTTGAGTTATGCAATAGAGAGAACATCCCTGCAGAAAAACCCGTCTTCTTATCTACAAGTTGTTCCTCTCCTTCTCCTCTATTTATTCACTAGGCTGCCTACTTCAGTAGCAGACCAGCTAATGCAACATGAAACTTGCAGGAATCACCTTCACTCCGGTCCCATATTAATGGCATCTTTGCCCATCAAGAGCAAGCTCAGTAGACATTCAAACTGCAGCTCTTCTTAATCTGTCTCTCCCCTCCACCACTGCCACCCCCCACCCCCTTTCAGCATTTCATTCTGAATGGAGGAAGGGTCAGGGCTTGGAAGAATAATACATTCTTTTGCATTTCTGCTTAAATCTCACAGCTTCTGGAGGTAACATCCCCATCAAGCTGTCAGTCTTCCCTGCAGAGTACAGTGAGGCATAGCAGAACATTTTGTTCAGCTGCTGGGGGGGGGGGGAAGCAAATCAGACGAAGGCTTTGAGGCTAGGAAGGGCTGCCTGCAGATCTGCCCTTTTCTGTGGGTGATGGCAAAAGACTATTTTTTTGGGGTGGGGGGGAAATCCCTTGTGGACTGACAGCATTAGTAAATGCAGATTCCATGGTGATTTGAAGCTTACAGCTTCTATCTTAACTTGAACAGCTTGAAGAGAGAACACGATGGAACCATTCCAAAGCCAAATGAAACACGGATGCCAACAGGTACCTAACTCTGTTAAGTCTAAACCCCGTTTTTAAATCCCCTTGGCTAGAGAAATACCTGTGATGCATGGTTAGCTGGAAAAATGATTGATCCTTCAGAGGGGTCAAGGGGTCAAGAGAGAGACAGGAGGTTGACTGTTGATACCCAGGGAATATCTCTGCTTCTTTATATGTTGACCCCCGTCGTGTTTATAGCTGGTCTCAAAGCTTAAGTGTGTTTGCATAAATAGAAATCTAACCGGTTGTCCACTTCAGTTGCAAGGAAGCAGTGTGAGAGTTAAGGGAGTTGTGCCAAAACCTTGTAAAGTTCATTCACCCTTTTAAAACAAAAATCCTAGAGAAATTTCTTGGGGGTGAAATATGGCTCTTAGTTTTGAGTTTTCCCCGAAAGCCTGTTTCCCTTGGCATTGTTGCAACTTCTTTGGAAGTAGAGTTGTATGGAACTGTCCGGTGTGAGGCTTTGTGAAGAGGCAAGGAATCCAGCAAGGATTCTTTCTGCAAATTAAAATCAACAGTATGGACACTGGGAATGCCTTCCCCAGAAATACAAGTTTGCTTAAAGTATCCAAGCCAGAATGATCCAAAGTGCAAACGGTATCAGTGATGAGGCTGGTTAGAAAAGCTATAAGTATGAGGAGGGATAAAAGCTGAAGATTGTGATAGTGTCGTGCTGCAATGGCACTAAAGCATCCCTCATTATTCACGGAATGAAAACACTATCAATAAATATGCATAAATCAATCCATGCTTATCATAACTTGTGCAAGCTTTTTTGCTGACCACGTTGGCTTTAACAAAATGAGAAGGGCAGAGAGAGAAATAAAAAACAATGCGGAGGAAACAAAAGGTAGCTGTGAATTAGTTTGATCTTTGCATACCTATCTTCATCTCTGCAGACCCAATATCAGAGCCTCTCCTGTGAAAAAATGCAGTTGATTCTGGTCTTCCTTTTGCAATATTGTCCTTTATAGCTTTCATCCTCTTCTCCTTCCTTTGACAAGCTTAAAGTATATGATGCATCATATCACAGGTAACTGTGAACAGACAAGTACTTGGTTGAAACTCAGGGAGGGGCCTTATCAGGTAGGAAATAAATAGCAGCTTGTCATCAACAGTGTGTTTATAGTGCTTACATTTTTTGTTCCCACTAAATGGAATCAGTTGACCCGCTCAAAATACGTTAGAAGGCAAATGTGCCTTTTAAATCAAAGGTCAGGTTCTTGACAAATAACAGTTTAAATAAATCTCTCCAGCTCATATTCTATCTGCTGCATACAATCCACTTTTTTTTCTCTTTCCATATAAAGAAGAAGAAAAAAAAGAATCTTTCTCTAACACCCTGGCAGGGAGCTCTGCTATGATAACTTATAAAGAATATGGTCCAGGCTTATTTGAATTTCACTTTGAGATGCAATTAAAAGGTTGCCAAGGTAGCTCCAGTCCAGCCTAGGATCTATTTTCGGTTTGGTTTGGGTTTTATATCCATATAAAATAGCCCCAGCTGTATTTTATCACTGCAGTGGATAGAATCCTGTCAGCATTATTGGCTTTTTATATAAAATTGTTCTCTGCAAGTTTTATTTATTTGGAGAAAGTAAGCAAAGATGTACAGAGCTGGATATTTTTCCAGCCATATATGTGTACAAACACACATGCATGCACTAACATTTATGTCTAGATGCTATTGATACATTTTTTTCCCCCTGGAAAAACAAATAAAATAGATCCAGGCATTTTTATCACCTGGTTTCCCAGGTACATTTATTGTCGAGAGATGAAATTGTCCTCTTTTTTTGGAATAGAACTTTAAGATAAACAAGTCGAATGATTTCTGAGAATTATATGTGTCCCAACAGAGTCTTCCAGTTGAGCATCTTTGATTGCTGGAGAAATGCTTTAAACCAATGGTCAAATCTAGGATGGTTAGTCATGCATAACATAGATTTAACATTTTAATGGGAGAAATAATGCAATGTTGGTCAACCAAGATGTTGTCATGATGAGAGATAAAGTCAACAAGGGAAAGAAAATCCATAAAAAGGAGAGGCTTTCAATGGAGTTGAAGAGATTGAAAACTGTTGCTGACACTAAACCTGCACGAATGCTTTGTTTTACAACATACCAGCACTGAAGTAGGTAACAGAACTCAGGCTGACCTTTAAAGAATGACAGCTACCTACAGAATGGGGATTGTGAAACTCAGGTTTTACCTTTCTTTTTTGTTATTGAACTCACTTATTTACATCAAATAGATGGCCTGGCGTTGATAGTGCTGTACTCTTGCTATTTAATGTTTCAGATTTTTAAGCACAGAGATCATGAATGAATGAATGAATGAATGAATGAATGAATGAATGAATGAATGGAATGCGAAGAAATGTAACTTGTCTTCCTCATATTCTATCTCGCAGTTATGTTTTCGCTTTGATCTTGAATAGTTCAGGAAGACCAATAGTAAAAGTTGAGTGATAACAGTCTGTGTTTATGGAGAATCCAATTTAATAGTGACTCCAGAACTCTCTAATCCTATATAAGAGAAATATCCATACTTGTAACTTTTTTAAATTCTTTGTTTAAAATGATTTTTAGTTTTTCTTTAAAGACATAATTTTTGACACACATTTGCACGCTTTATTATTATCTATCAATAGAGTAGTTTATGTTGTATTTTACTATAGAGAGTTTATGCTATGTTGGCACTCTATTTGATTTCTTAGGTTGTACGAGTTCTAGACTACTAGACATTGAATAACCTTACTGGTAACTATATAAGGGATTGTTGAACTTTGGAGCTGTTAAATTATCAGAATTTTTTATGGTAATGAACTCTATATACCAATAGAAACAGCAGAGCAAATTTTGAGTATGGGGCTTGATTCAAAGGTGTTTGGAAGAAGGAATAACATCTCTGTTAAACTATGGATACCTAAAAGTTCATATAGTTTTATATTTTTTAATATAATTCTTCCCCTGTTTTAGCATGGATTTTTAGTTTCTATTTTGTAGATTGATTTATTGTAGGGATTTGAATTTTATCAGAGAAAAACTGTGATTCAAATTGTGTTGGAATTTGTTGCTTGTGTTCAGGAATCCAATAATTAAATTTCTAGTGCTTAAATTTAATTCTTGGGAAATAACTGGTGTTCATATTTAACTAGGCTGATCTGATTCTCTTTCTTTGTCTTTGCCATTGATGAGTATTTCTATGTTATATCAGCAGTAAGAATATAAAAGAGTTACTCCCACCAAAAGATAGACATGTGCGTCCAAGAAACCTAAAAGCAGATTATGAAGGCAAAGAGTTTTTATTTTTTAAAAAACCACTTTGCAATTTCTGTAATTTGAAAAGCAAATGCATGCAGGACATTGATAGTGTTAGACAACATTAAATACAGTAAGTGTTTAGAAGCCACCTATGTCATACTTGTTTGGCAAATCACATTCTGTTCAAAGATTCTCTTTTTAAGGAATCAATGTTCATTGTTCTTTACATTTTCATGCTGAACAGTTGAGATTTAGGATGTGATTGGAAGGTCACCAGAACTATCGAATTTGACTTCGGGAGATGTGATAAACGTATATATAGGGGAGAGAGAAAATGAGATCAGCCTGGCAACTAAAGAGGGTCAGAAGGAGAAACCAGTTAAAGGTCTTTCATCTATGGTATAAATCTTTTCAGAGATCACAGTCTGATCCAGAAACACTCTCTCTCTCTCTCTCTCTCTCTCTCTCTCTCTCTCTGTGTGTGTGTGTGTGTGTGTGTGTGTGTGTGAGAGAGAGAGAGAGAGAGAGAGAGGGAGGGAGGGAGGGAGGGAGGAAGGAAGGAAGGAAGGAAGGAAGGAAGGAGAAAGAAAGAAAGAAAGAAAGAAAGAAAGAAAGAAAGAAAGAACACAGTTTTCTCTCAATGAACCCTGAATAGATTTTCTGGAATCCTATATATATAATATCAGATTTTGCAGAAATATGTATGTTTGAATACAAACACAATCTTCATTTCTTGAAGCAACAATGCAAAAGTTAGTATATTTATACACTAGCCTGTTTGCCTTCTCTCTGAAATGTCAGTATTTTTTTTTTAAAGATCTGTTTCTAATCTGTATATTTAACACAGTTGGATGGGGACGTTGTTTATCTCAAGCCGTAGAATGTATTCTTTTAATATAACTGGTTGATAGGTCTTCAAAACTTGGATAGCCGTTTCCCCGTGATCTATGGCAAAATCTGAAATAACCCTAAGGGAAGCTGAGGCATTACTTCAGAGTAATGCAGTGCTAAACTACTGACGAGCAGACTTCATTGTGGATAATCTGCAATGTGTCTCGGCTTTAAAGAGAGCTGAATTGTCAAGCAACATCCGTTCAGACTTTTCAGCTAATAAAATCCCCGTTTCATTCATGTTGGTTTTGCAGAATCTCCTCAATGGAGAAGAGACACAACCTGGTGACTGACAGCTTCTCATTTTCTTCACTGAGCTTAGCAGATCCACTTTCTAGCTTTCTCCATTTAAAATGACACACTTTGTTTGGGACAACATGCTTCCAATAACGTCAAACATAGATGAGAGGGAGCAGAGATTGCTAGATACCTTGTTGTGATACTTTATGGGGAAATGAAGATGGTCTGTGTAGAGCCACAAAATAGGGCTGCAATCATTGGGTAAGGGATGAAAAGAAGGGAAGGGGGAAAACAAAGAGCTTAGCTGGATTCCGTCCATTTCAGACATTATTCAAGTGTAGCCTTTCTTCGGCTTGATATAGTCTACATATAATACCTATGGTTTTTATTTTTACTTAGGATTGGCAATGCTAGTTAAGAATTGGTAGGAGTTGTGGTCCAACACATTTGGAAATGCTAATATGCGGAAAGCTGGTGGAATGTACAATATGCATGAATTTGGAGCATAAAATATAAGTGTGACTAATTTATATTTTGCTGTGACCATGGAGTTGTTATAACCAGGGGACCTATTTTAAATATACAGTTATAAGCATGAACATGCT